TAGCTTCCGTCGCTCTCTTCGCTTACCTCCTCTCGAGGCTTTGGTTGAGGTTGAGGTCTGGGTCGAGGAGGTCTTCCGTAGCCACCACCTCCACCTCCTCCTCCTCCATAAACAGGTCTATTGTTGCTGGGCTGCGGGACGTAGGTGGTTTCGGTCTCTTCGACGACCACGGGCTGGCTTTTCTTTGGTGGTCGGCCGTAACCTCCACCTCCTCCACCACCTCCCGTTGGCTGGTACTCCTCGATGATCACCTCTTCCTTGACCACCGGTTTATTGTGAGGACGCCCTCCTCCTCGTGGCCTGCCGTTGGGTCGTTCGTACTCCTCGATGATCACCTCCTCCTTCTGTGGATATCCGTTACCTCCACCACCTCCATTTCCTCCATTTCCTCCTCCTCCCTGGTTGTTGTACTGCTCACAGGGCTCCATGAAGACTCGTCCCTGGCGGAGGCGTTCGCACATTCTCTGGCGAATGTGCTGTCGAATGCCGTGCTTGATTTTGCGAATCTCGCCGATGGCACCCTTGGCCAGATTGCCGGCAATGTCCAGCGGAAAGAAGGCGGACACTAGGGCCGGCCCTAGGACAGCCATCACCACCACCGCCGCCAGCCACAGTGGCAGTGCTGTGATCTTCATGTTTAGAAAAAAAGTGGTTGAAGTTTTTGACTTGAAAATGAGGTTAGTAAAAGTGGTGGCGGAGGAGCATTCTTTTGGAGATCACTGCGCGGCTGCTGTTGCTGCTGTTGTGCTTCTGCCCTCGGCGACAGTCGACTACTGACTACCATTTCGCCCCACCAGGAAAGTGGAGCACACTGAAGAGATCGAGTCTTCCTTGCATTGAGAGAGAATTCCACTGATATACCAGGAAAAAGTTGGGAACGGAAGTGGGGTGGTGATAACACTGCACAGAGCACTGGTTTTGATTCCTCGTCGAGGATTCTGTCGGAGGAAGTGCGGGGATGATAGTGCTGCTGCTACTGCTGCCCTGAGGAAGTGTACTCTTTACCATTTGCGTTGACATTCTGATTTTAGCTGCTAACTATAGTTTTGAGGAACAGAGAAAAGGTTACGAGGAAAATGGTAGCCAGTTGGCATTTCATTTGTGACTCCATTCGAAGCCCCAACTGATGTGTCAGTTATTGTTTTTTTATTTGATGGCTTTCTACTGAGATGATAGTTGTTGTTGATTTCTAAACTAGACTACTCTTTTAGTACAATGTACATTACTACTCTAGAGACCACATGTGAGGGTGGTGGTGGTAGTTGCGGTTGACGGAGGTGCTGCTGTTGCTGCCAGCTAAATTAGAAGTGGCTGCCGCGGCTGCCACCGAAGCCAGGTGATCATAGCCACCACCGGTGCTGGCACTTTGCTGCTGATGCGCCTGAAGTCCTGAGAAAAGGGACCCCACTGCTGAAGAACCATCGGCTCCTCCAGCACCACCGAGGCCACTGTAGCCGGAAAAGTGCGGCTGATGTTGTGTTTGTTGTTGAAGTTGAAGTTGCTGCTGCTGCTGTTGCTGCTGAATCTGAAGGTGAAGAGGAAGGTGGTGGGGGTGATGGGGATAGCCAGCCACTGATGATGGCAGCAGCTGATGGTGGTGATGCTGGTTAGCATAGGAGATGACCTTGGCCATTGAGGAGGAGATTGGAGAGCCACCGATTTCGAAGGCGTTTTGATGGTGGTGGTGAAGGTGGTGATCATCGGCATCAGCAGCAGCAGCACTACCATCACCCCCAGTCGGAGATTGCGAAGTTGAGGCCTCCTTTGCGGCCTCCAGTGTCGTCTCGCCGTCCTCAAGCTCTGCTTTGCAGACCTGCTTTGCAGCAGACTCTTGGTGAATTGTTGTAGGGAAGTAGTCGTCGTCGTCGTTGACGACGTTCTCTTCCCCTTCCTGGCCGCCGTTGATGATGATGTTTGGTGAGGTGCTGCTGAGGCTGTTGTTGTTGTTGTTGTTGTTGTTGTTGTTTGATCCCTCACTAAGATCGTTGACAGTTGCTGAAGCAGCAGCAGCAATGGCATTTTCATGCTCCTCCTGTTTGATCGCCTTTGATTGCTTCTTGGACTGTTTGCCATTGCGCTTTGAGGTGGAGGTGGTGGTGCCATTAGTGCCCGAAGAGTTGTTGTTGTTATGGGAGTTGATAGAGTCCTCTGAAGCGAACAGCGACAGAATGGTGCTGTTGTTTGAGCTGGCCATCGTTTCAGAGGGCGAAAAGGTGCCCGCACTGGAAGAAAGCTGAAGAAGCGGTGAAAGGCCGCTGTCCACTGGATTGCACTGCTGTGGCTGCTGATACTGGTGATGAACTGCAGAGGTGAAAAAGGACGTCCTCGGTTGCACTGTTTGCAAAGGTTGCTGCTGCTGCTGCTGCTGATGTCCATAAGGCGATTGGTAGTGGCTAAATGGACTGATGTTACTGGGCATTGCACTAGTACCTCCTCCTCCTCCTCCTCCTAAATTGAAAGGCGAAGATGATGCTGAGCCGTGTCCGTATTGTGCCGTCTGACCGAGAATGCTGGAGTTGGAGTTGTAGTGGTGGTGGTGGTTCCAAGATGGTGGCTGTGGATGGTGGTGGTGATGGAGAGACGACAGTCCGTTGACAGCTGCAGTAAAGGGTGAGTAGACGCCGGCGGTTTGCGCTGATGGCAGTCGATCATGTTGCTCCTGCATTTGACCGCCTCCGNCTCCTAAATTGAAAGGCGAAGATGATGCTGAGCCGTGTCCGTATTGTGCCGTCTGACCGAGAATGCTGGAGTTGGAGTTGTAGTGGTGGTGGTGGTTCCAAGATGGTGGCTGTGGATGGTGGTGGTGATGGAGAGACGACAGTCCGTTGACAGCTGCAGTAAATGGTGAGTAGACGCCGGCGGTTTGTACTGGTGCCAGACGATCATGTTGCTCCTGCATTTGACCACCACCAAGAAAGGTGCTGGTGGTTGAGGAGTTTAATGGCGGTGATATCTGTGATTCTTGTGGAAGAATATTTGCAGCCTGGTGAGGAAGGTGGTGATGGTGAGCCACGGAAGGCGAGCCGTACTGATGATGAGGTGAGGAACCGAAGGTCCGGTGGTAGGGATGCTGAAAGTGATTGATTTGAGCAGAAGGTGCAGGGTGAGGGTGAGGGAGGTGATGGTGGTAACGAGAGGCAAAGGACTCGGCTGCAAAGTGCAGGTAGTTGGAGTAGGAGGAGGCAATCGAGGATGAGGAGGAGGAAGGAGCGGAAGGTGGTGAGTTCGAAGAGTTCGGTGCCAGCGAAGTCAGCGATTCGTTGGAGAAGAGCAACATCTGACTACCACTACTACCACCGACATCTACGGCAACCGGACTGACGTTTGAAGTGGTCGACCCTTGATGGTCATCTCGCGAGGTTTCAGTCTGAAGAAGTGATGGACCTTGAAGAGAGGGAGAGAGAAAAGCGAAGATAGTGATCAAATCGAACTGCGAAACCTTTGTTTTGAAGCATTGCCTCCTGGCGTCTTACGTACTCTGCGCACGGGACACGCTGGCCCAAAAAGCAACCGAAAAAATTCCGCGGTCTTTTTTGTCTCGCTCGCTCGCTCTCATTCACCGAACAGACTTGGCGCTGAACGATCTTTCGCTCGTTTCTATTTTTCTTATCTGTGCCATTATCATCTTCATCACCGCCATCAGGAGAGTGTTTCCCAGTTGGTAAGTTCTTTCTCTCTATTTAGCTCATTACTTGTGTGCTCTAATGTGCTCATTATTTTTTCTTTCTGTTTTCTCGAAAACAAGTTCTCTCTATCTTGCATCTCCTTTGCCGCACAATTTTCGATTCACAATTTTCAACTGGCAATAATTGCCGTTGCCGCTGCCGTCAAATGTCATCAAATGGTCGATCTTTCATTCATTCATTCGCTCACTCATTCATGGGTAAGTTTGTCCAACATTTGTCTTTTGCTCTTTTTTGCGCCATTCGCTTTTTTCTTACCTGATAGTGAGTTGGTAGTGTTTTGCTGTTGCTGCTGCTGAAACTGTTGATTCGCCGCTGTAGCTGTTCCATCGCCGTAGGCTGAGGAAGTGCCTCCAAACTGCTGCTGCTGCTGCTGTTGTTGCTTTCCATCTTCGGGAGACACTGGACCGCCGGTGTTGTCTCCCGCATCAGCTGTTTCGCTAGTTAGAGTAGCGCTGACTGCGACGACTTCATTGCCCGGAGAATGGGCGCCCGAGAGGGCTTTATTGCTGCCGCTGCCGCCGCCGCTGCAGGAGTAGGCCGCCTCTTCCTCGAGAATGTGTCCTCCATCGCCACCATTTGGTGAATGCGAATGATTGGCNCAGCAGCTGTTTCGCTAGTTAGAGTAGCGCTCACTGCGACGACTTCGTTGCCCGGAGAATGGGCGCCCGAGAGGGCTTTATTGCTGCCGCCGCTGCAGGAATAGGCAACCTCTTCTTCGAGGTGTCCTCCATCACCGCCATTTGGTGAATGCGAATGGCTGGCGGCGGCGGTGGTGTTTGAAGAAGAGGGAGCAATCGAAGCTCGATAGCTGCTGAGCATTCCCGTCGTGGCCGTTGAGTTGTTTGTCGGCGGCGCCGATGAGGAGCTTGCCGCGTAGACGGCGTTTAGGTAGTTTGATGATGAGGATGATGTTTGCCCACTACCGCTTGTTGCCTTTGGCAGCAGAAAGCTGTCCATCTTTAGCATGTCACCGTGTTGGTGGTGGTGATGGTGATGGCCTCCCATTACATTNGCCTTTGGCAGCAGAAAGCTGTCCATCTTTAGCATGTCACCGTGTTGGTGATGGTGGTGATGATGATGATGGCCTCCCATTACATTACCACCACCACCACCACCACTGCTGGGCTGNAGCAGAAAGCTGTCCATCTTTAGCATGTCACCGTGTTGGTGGTGGTGATGGTGATGGCCTCCCATTACATTACCACCACCACCACTGCTGGGCTGCTTGATGGTCCGCCGGCGACGCGTGCGGATCGTCTCCTTGCGCATGGCCGCCGGCCGATTGACTCCATTGAGGCGAAAGTAGAGGCCGCAGGCGTTGCAGACCGAGTCGCCCATGGCATTGCGCCGCCACATGCTCGTCGCCTTGGTGCCGCAGTTGGCGCAGGTGAGGCCGGTCCGCCGGGTGGTGGTGGACAGGCGGCGGACGTTGCGCACCAGCGGGCGGTGGGCGCCGTTGACGCGCTGGTAGAGGCCGCAGGCGTTGCAGAGGAACTGCTCGGCGCCGAAGCGCCGCCAGAGGGGCGTGCAGGTGGTGTGGCAGTTGTAGCACTCGCGGTGCTCCCCCGACTGGTCGTTGGCGCTGATGATGGAGCCGTGCAGCGTCTGGTGCATGCCCTCCTGCAGCAGCGAGGAGTCGTCGTCGTCCTGACTGCTGCTCAGGGACTGATCCATCGGATTCGAGTGATGGTGATGCAGTTGCTGCTGCTGCTGCTGCTGCTGCTGCTCCAAAGTCCCCTGCTGGTGATTGTGGTGANAGGGACTGATCCATCGGATTCGAGTGATGGTGATGCAGTTGCTGCTGCTGTTGCTGCTCCAAAGTTCCTTCTTGATGATTGTGGTGGTGGTGGTGAAAGTTGTTGTGTTCATCACCAGCAGCCTCGCTGACGACACTGGCCAGCTGGCCAAATTGCTGTCGGCGATTAGCGGCCGCCGCTGCAGAACTGTCGCTGCCTACCATTTTGTCCAGGGGTGAACTTCCACTGCCGATAAAGAATGGAGCACTTTGGTGTAATCCTCTTCCTCCTCCCATTAACTCCACCTGATGGTGATGATGATGGTGGTGGTCAATTGATAGGGATGCTAATGGAGGAGGAAGGGGAGGCGGTAAAAGATTGGATGAGGAGGACATGTTCACTGCTGCTGCTGCCGTAGCTACGGCCGTTGATGTTGCTGCCGAGGTCAGTCGACTGGTGGTGCTCGGCATGAGGTACATCTTGTGTTATCAGCTGCTGCCTCTTCTTTTGCACCCTTATTGGCCCTGTGAACTTTTCCTTTCACTCTCTTTGTTTTCCTCTGTTTGAATGGGGGGATTAGTGATAACAGCTGTGGTGAGTGACCGGCGATTGAAAAGTGGCTGCTGTTCAGGAAGCTCCTCACCCACCGCCGCCGCTGACCATCGATGACGCCGATTCGCACTAATTAGCAGCTGCAGCAGCAGCAGCAGAGCACTGGTTGATGGCAATGCTTGGGTGCACTTGGGCAATTGTTTATTGTTGCAGCAGTTGTAGTAGTTAGAGTTTACAGGTGATGAGGTCCACCAGACAAGACAGTGGTGGTGGTCGTGGTGGTGGGACGATGCTGATTGCATCGATGAGATCAACTCGGGTCGATATCGATACACGCACACTGCCAACACAGGAGCCAGGAGAGGGAGAGGGAGAGAGAGAGTCAATTACGGAGGCGGTGGTGGTGGTAAGTGGGAAGAGAGAGCAGGCACTCCAATCAATTGATGGTGATGGTGATCGAAGTTGCTGATGCTGTGTTGACACTTAATTAATGTTTGCCACTTTTACATTTTACATTTGCAGATGAAAGTGGCGGGCGCGAGCGAATAAAGTCGCATCAAGAGAGGCTGAATCGAACACCTCCACGGCTCATTTGCAAATAATCGCCTCGAGTTGATCAACGACGGAGCCGACGGCCACCAGCACAAGTGGCAGCAGCATCACACCATCATCACCTGTCGTCAAGTTTGTCGCCTTGTTTTTTCCAGTCAGTTTTTGCTCTGGCCACAAGCGTCAACATTTGACGTCGAAGCCTGCCGGAGAAGGTGAAGACAAAGACGAAAACGAAGAAGAAGAAGAAGAAGGAGAGGAAAAAGAAGATAAGGGAGAAGGNAGCCTGCCGGAGAAGGTGAAGACAAAGACGAAAACGAAGAAGAAGAAGAAGAAGAAGGAGAGGAAAAAGAAGATAAGGGAGAAGAAGGGGACACAAACTTGTCCTCTTCTTTTCTGGCCACAGTCTTCGACGACAGCGAAGGCAGCAGCAGCAGCAGTGCTCGCCTGGACACTCCTCGTCGGACGGCCTCACCTGCTGTTGCCGGCACTGCAACAGCCGCAGCAGCAGCTAATTGCCCAGCCAAGGTAAGTTTGCCTCTTTTCTTCTTCTCCTTCTCCTTCACTGCCTTGCCTTTGCCTTGTACTGCTGCCGCTGCTGTTCAGTACCAAAGGAGTGGTTTATCTATCGCTGCTGCTGAAGCTTAGCAGCTCTTTATGTGCTGTTCTGG